GATGAGTACTTTGATTGCCGGGTCATTTTCATCAAACCAGTCCTGGTGTATTCTTTTAATTTGGCCGAGGGTCTCTGTGCAGGTTTTTGTCATAACAGTGTTGAGAGTATCCCCTTCGGCACTGGGATTCACGTTGTTTGCTGTTGGGTTGTTTATAAGGCCATGTTCGAACTGGAATCTGAAGGCATGTGCTACTGCTGGGTCGTCCAGACGCTTAGTATTAAAACCTCTTCTGGAGGCTTGCTGCCTTCGCTGGTTTGGGGCGATGTGAAGTGAGAGCTTGGCTCTAACATGTAGATGATCAATGTCACAGTGGTCTTAGCCACACATGGCACGGGTGAAGAGGACATCTCGGCGATCTCTTTCTCCGACAATGATGTAGTCAATGAGATGCCAGTGTTTGGATCGTGGGTGTTGCCACGAACCCTTGAATTTGTCGGCCTGCCTAAACAAGGTCAATATTGGTGATAGTGATGCTGTGCGCAGCACACTTGCTGAGGAGAAGTAGGCCGTTGGCATTACACTTGCCTAGTCCATTTCTCCCTATGGTTCCCTGCCAAATGCTAGCATCTCTGCCAACTCTGGCATTGAAGTCACCAAGGAGCATAACCTTGCCTTCTCTGGGGATAGAGGTTAGCACTCTCTCAAGGTCGGCGTAAAAGGCCTCTTTGATGTCATCCTCTGCATCCAGTGTTGAGGCGTATGCACTGGTGAAAAGGGCATGACGTGAGTGATTCAGTGGGACTCGAAGCATCATGAGGCGCTCGTTGATCCCAATAGGCATTTCAGTTAGCCTGTGCAGGATGCGTTGGTGGAGGGCAAAGCCAACTCCATAAATGCGGTTTCTTTCCGCAGCAGACTTACCCTTCCAGAAGAAAGTATAGCCACACCCCCGTTCTGTGAGCTAGCCCTCATCTGGGAGCCGGGACTCACTGATGGCTGTTATGTCGATGCAAGATTATTCTCTCCCCTTCCTACTCCACATATCAAGAAGAGCTCAACACACTGACCCTTTCGACTCTCGCTGACCATCACCACGACCTCATCTGCAAATTTGGTAAGAAGCTTCTACACCATCCTCGACACCGGCTCCTACTACCACCTGAGATCCCTAGTCCGAGAATTGCTGTTCGAAACCACAACCGCATCCAGCCCATACGTGCACGAACTGATCACTATAAGAACAGCCCAGTCCCAACCATTGTAAAAATTATCAATAACTTGTAATAAACCAGTGTATTCACTCCCAGTAAACACTACTCCTTGCACTGTCACTATGTTGAAATGAACTGTAGTTTGAGCTTTTCCCCATCTAGTTATTACATGTCTTATTTGTGTCACTCATGTTACTTGTATATTATTTGTAATTCGAAACCCATTCCCCAAATATGTAACTGTATATTTTCAGCCTTCTGGCTGCCAAGCTCTTTCAATAAACCGTTAATTATTATTATTATTATTATGATTATTATTACCTAGCCAGCTCTTTTGCCACAAGGGCAGTTCTTCTTTCAGGATGCTCATTTGTGCCAGCATCCAGAAGGGTCCTGACATTCCAGGCAGTGACCATAAGAGGTTGTATGATTTGTTTTTGTTTGAATCTGTGATTTTGACTGTGTTTTCGACCGCATAAGGATTACCTTACTGGGTGCGGTTGCTCAGTCAGGTTAGATTTGTAAGCAGGCTATGTTTCGGGCACCTTTTCTAGGCTCCTCCCCATGTGGGGTAAGCAGAGTGGCTCCTCGAAAGGGCTGCTCTGTCGCACAGACAGGACCGGACTGCACTGCTGCCCTGATTCCAGTGCAAAAACGACCATCTTATCTGTGTGAGCCATGTGCAGAGTTGAGTAGAGACTCCTGGCAGTCATTTCTGCCTATCCCCGTCGCCACTCGTCCGGCGCCAAAGGACTTTTGGGGGCATAGGGATTTTGACGATGATGAGAGGCATGGTGAACTGGATGATGGCTGCACGTGAGTTGAGTTATATGGTGAGGCGGGAGCACTGGCTTCAACTATACATCTTGGCTCTCTCTTTTCCTGATCCAGTGGTGTAAGTGTTGTAACTACTGGGGAGAGAGTTGCAATGGACTGCCGATAGCCCAGTTTGTTGGGTTTTGCCTGAGTAGCCTGTCCATCAGGCATTGCCTTCGTCCGCCGGTGTAGTCATTGGGTTTCCATGGTGGTCACCTCTTCCACCTACACCGCCGTTGGGGTCTTGTTGGAGCTCTGTAAGCATATCTGCCTGATGAGGGGCTCCACCGCAGATTTTTCGTTCGGGGTTTACTCCCGTAGCCTTATACCTACCAAGGTTAATCCGCAAGGCAGCGGGGCAATGGCTGGAAGGCACCATAACGTGTCGACATGCCAGTGGGCCTATGCTCCGTCGCTCTGGGGCCCACTGCTACTCCAGATTCCCTGTTGGTCTACTCTTGGCCCACGAGGCACCCAGTTACCGTGTGTTGCCACGAGAAGGCACAGCAGGAGTCTTGATGGTGAAGAAGTTCTGTACTGGCAAGGGAAGACTTATGAAAGTTGCTTCCCTGTTCGCCACGAGGGTTAGCCAGCAGCGGTAGCTGAAAGCGAGAGGGAGCAAGCAGTGCTTGTACCTTAACACTAACATAGTGCTGCCACACTAGACGCATTTCACCACCCTGTGCGCACACGCACACACACACACACACACACACATACACACACAAAAAAAAAAAAAAAAACAAGATTGCAAGACGTTGTAACCGCTAGACTAAGGTTAGGGTATAAGTACCTTTGGCAGTATATAGTATACTTCAAGCAGATGTGAACAAAACTAAATGTAAAGTGTATGGCCAGACATATGGCCACACACTCGAACACTACGTCCTCGACTGTGTGAAGGTAGAACCTTTTAGGGACAGGTCCAAGCACACTGTGTGTGTGAAATAGCACACTTTTTCTCTTATGGTAAGATAGCTGACGTATTAAGATTGTATGTATTTTTTGGCACTCAGTAGCTATATCAGTTTCCATGTATAGAACCATACACAATATGTGTTTGAATATCTCTCACGTAAATGTGAATAACAAAGTGTGCGGCCAGGCATATTGTCTTACACTCCTGTACTTACGCAGTTGCAAATAAGTTACCTTCTATGTACAGAACTAAACGAAGAATCTATTTTAAATATTCTGTAACATTTATTGCCATAATATCCTGACCACTGGGGTCTTTTATACACACCCTTGTGACCTCTACTCTGTAATCCTTTTGCGTGACAGCTCACAGGATGAGTATGGGGTTCACAATAAACTAGCTGTTGTAAGTGACAAATTTGAAATTTTTTGAGAAAATTCAGAGGTACGCCATCATCCAACACCTGACCGAACAGTCTTATCAACGCATCACAACACGGTTTCATGGAAAGAATATCCTGTCTGACAACTTACCCACGTTACTTGTGACGGTAAAAGACTACGTGAACCGAAGCTCATCAGTGGATATGTTGTACATGGATTTCTCCAAGACGTTTGACGAAGTTCCATATGCATGACTGGCTTCTAAGTTCCAGGCACATGGCATCACAGGCAAGATTTTGACGAGGATTAACAACTGGCTCGAAGACAGGACAACAAAAAGTCGTTATAAATGTAGTACATTCTGAGTGGAAAAGGGTTCTCAGTGGAATACCACAAGGCTCTATCCTTGGACCCATCCTGTTTGCGATCTACATAAACGACATAGATGAAAATATATCGAGCCACATTGTCAAGTTTGCGGACGACACGAAAATATCTGGGAAGGTAGCAAGCCAAGACAATATTGCAACAATGTTGAAAGAGTTGCACGAGCTGTTCACATTGTCTTGAGACTGACAAATGCTCTTTAACAATACAAAATGCATGATCGTACACGTATGATGCAACAACCCTAATCACATCTGTTCTATTAATAACACTCTCCTGGATACTGTCAATAAGGAGAAATATCTATAAGCATTGTGGCAGATCATTCACTGAAAGCGGCGCAGTGAGAAAATCAAATTGAGATTTGGGAATTATAAAGCGTTCTGTACCTTCGAATACAAAGGTAGGAAAATGTTCCTTACTCTACAAATCTAAAGTAAATCCCAGTCTGGATACTGCATAAAGGCATGGAAACCCTGCCCCCAGAAAGATCTAACACCCCTGGAAAAGGTGCAACACAGTGCGACTGAGATGATTCCGGAACTATGTCATCTTGAGTAGCCAAGTAGGCTTAGGGCTTTAGGACTAACAGCCCTTCAGACAAGGCACAATAGTGCAGATCTCATTAAAACATTCAAAATCCTGAAAGGGATAGAAGACGTGAACTCAACCATTTCTGAGTGATATCACGTACCACCAACACGAGGAGACGTATAACTGCAAGCTCGCCAATTTAGCAGGCAAAAAGAACAAAAGAAAATATTTCTTCACACAGAGGCTGGTATAGACCTATGGAACGGTCTACCAGCCCAAGCTGTGGAATCAAGAACAGTACTGGGCTTCAAAAGAGCCTTCGTCAAAATTATTAAGAACAATGAAATATTGTTTAGGTAATTAAAATTTAAATTTATGATTATTGAAGTTTCAGTACACACTCGGTGTTATGTTCCAAACATTTCATAAAGAATGAATCGATAATGTGAGAACCAATTGTAACGTAAGGGTATTATCGACAGCAGCATACCCTACCTACCATGTCCGAAAAAAAGGGTATTTTACATATCAAGGGGCATATTGCAGTAAATATACCCCTTTGCTTAGGATACTAGGATACCTTTTTCATACCCTACAGTTTTTACAGTGGGGGTCTATTATACACACTGTTTGTGGCTTCTGCTCTGTATACCCTGTAAGCTGTAAGCTTTTTGGCACTACCGCTCACATAATGAATATGGGGTGCACAATAAACTAGCCACTATCAGCAGCAAAATTTAATGCAATTCCCTCTCCCATTTCTCCACCCTCGTCTCCCCCCTCCCTTCCTGTCTCCACATAACTCACGTTAAAGCCGAGGCCGACAGAGCAGAGTTTCTTCTTGAGGGGGCCAATGAACCGCGGCTCCGTGTCACTAGGAGCTGCCTCGAGGGACCGCGATTCCGTGGGAATAGGTTGTAAGGCCCGTGACTTCTTGATGGTAAAGTGTTGTTGTACAGTATCTTGGTCCATGTCGGTGGGTGGTTGAGTGGTTGTCTCGGCTGCATCGTTCACTTCCTCAACCTACGGGTCACAAACCTCTCAGTGCTTTGAAATTTTTTTCTGAACTTAAATTCCTCGTAATACAGACACAGGCATAAGCACAATATTTTGGGGGAGTTATGAAGGAAGAATTACACACACACACAAAAAAGCAACAAACCTGAGGTGAGGATGAGGAGGATGAGGAGGAAGAGGAGGATGTGGAGGTGGAGGAAGAAGAGGTGACGACGGAGGAAGCTGAGGCAGGACCGTGTGTAGGGTTATCTTCCCCCCACTTCCAGTCAGCGTGTACCTGAGTCGCCGTCAGCATCATCACCACCACCATCACCACCACAGCTGTCCGCCGTGCCATGTTTGCCGTCTACACAACACCTGCTGAAGTATTTGTGTACGTCAGTTGACAAGTTATAACTAATGCAACTCTCTTATAACTACAAAAAATACTCTTTCTCTCTCTGTTACGAGTATAAAAATAAACAAATTCTCTCTCTCTCTCTCTCTCTCTCTCTCTCTCTCTCTCTCTCTCTCTCTCTCTCTCTCTCTCTCTCTCTCAGAAGTCTTATATATGGCCCGTAGTTCACTATAGTCTATTACCTCATTGTGTCACATTTCTTACCTTTTTCAATTATATTTCTACCATTAACTATCTTAAACCAGCCTTGTTCAGTTTTACTGGGAATGGTTCCCAAAGATGCTCTAATATTGTTCGAAATTAAGTCAAACCTAATCTAACCTAACTCAGCCTAACCTAATCTGCAGGTTCATAGACATCAGCAGCAGAAAAGTGTTCGAGACCTGTACCATCTGCAGGTTGTACTTACCTGTAACTCTTGCCCTCCCCCACTAGACTAGGAGTAGTGTAAGATCTGCCACCCACTAGACTAGGAGATAGTATAAGACCACCCCCCCCCCTCGGAGGTAGACAGTGGTCGTCCCGTACAGCCTCGCATCAATGGTCGCAGCGTCCCTCATCTGCTTTGGCATTTCTTTAAGTTAACATATTAATACAAATTACTGAAGAAAATGAACCAACTCCGTAAATCATAAATAATAGTTTAAAGGATAGTGATCTACTGTGTTTATAAAACAAGAGTCGGTCGGTACTAACAATAACCACTACATATTTTCACTGTGATATTTTCCATAATCGTTACTTAAAACTATTTGATTTATATCACCAAAGACGTAGCTTGCCAGACCCGGCCAGATCTCAATCTTAGCCATTCAGGTTAAGTTTTAAGTCCTTCGCGAACTAGTTTCTCCCCCTAAAAGCTATTGTTTGAGGTGTTATAAGCTTCGACACCATGGTGGAGGGTGAAGGTGGGGGGCACATAGCACGTGGCGCTAAAGAATCTCGACTGTTTTTCTATAATCAGTTTACTCCTTTATGAAGCCGGGTAGTAGGCACCTTAAGCCGCGTGCCGTCCCCTGCTACGACCATGTTGTGTGTGTGGGGAAGGAGGGGGCGGGGTGTAGAGCCCATCATCATTAGTGTCCACAACCTAGCAAACACCGCGTGACTCTGGAGGCATAACGTCAATATTCTATAAATGTTAATTTATGACGGTGACCGAGGCTTCCTGCCCATCAAAAAAGACCAGTTTACTTAAGTAAGAAGACCAACAGGTAAAAATGACGCCTATTACACTTAAGAAAAGAACTTTTCCCAAATACAAAGGTAGTGACTAGTGATACGCCTTTATAGAGCTTCCTATATCTGTTGTAATATATCATAACTTATCACACTTGCTATAATCTTACATTACAGCAGTATAGGACCTCGTCTCCACACACCCCTGAACAACGCTGCTCCCGCTCATCAAATATAAATATATTTTAATCTGCGTAACAAAATTAAGTACCATATTCACATAGTCTAGACTTTATAACCTTAGTGATCTCTCTTATTAGTTACACTATTATGTTCACCCTGACGCTAGTTTATTGTGTGACGTCATCATCATGGTTGTACAGTATTATGTTAATGTGTTCAGCTTCTTATACCATCTGTCGTGCCTCCTCCACGCTCTAGTTATTACATTATGATATGAAGTGACTAGTCTTAAACTGGGGGCCACGGCAAGATTTTAGGGGGCCATGGCGGGCTAGTGTAAGTAGTATATGTTTGGAGAAAATGTGGAAACTCTTATTCAGCTTTTTTTTACTTTGCCTTGTTGGGGGACAAATCATTTTTTTTTATTTGTCTATTTTTTTTGTCATTGTGTGTAATCATAATACCCGTACGGTACAGTTTTGATATTTACATAGTATGGTGCAGTAGCTAGTCTCATTTGCAACGGATTCGCTCAGATTGCTCAATTCTAGTTCCTGTCAGCAGGGTGACGGGCGCTGGACTGTGTCACTGATCTCACATGTTCGGTACATGTCAGTGTGTCATCGCTTTACAAGTGGTGATCAGACCGAATGTTCTCAATCTGGCTCAAGATATCATTAGGAAAATATGTGAGTGTACTGTGAGTGGACTGTATGTGTATGTTTTACGTGTGATTGCATAGGCATTTTATGTATGTTTACATACAGTATGTCTGGACTTTATGCATATTTGTGTGTTTGCCATTCCGATTATTGTCTCATTTTTGTTTTTTATTATTGTAATTTTTAGTCTTTATCATTCGTCTGTTTCTGTCTGTTTGCATTTGCGATGGCTGTCAGTGTTGCTAAGAAACGGAAGTACAGTGATGAATACATTAACTACTGATTTATGTCAATTCTCGATGATGGCATTGAGAAACCTCAGTGTGTGTTGTTTCAAAGTGCTGAGGAACGATTCCATGAGGCCTAGTAAGCTGAAGCATCATCTGACAACAATCCACCCCTAGTATGCGGAGAGAGACCCGATTTCTTCAAGCACCATGAACGGAGTTTGGAAAAAAACAGAGACTGGATGAGAGTGGTGCTTTCCAACAACAGAACTTAAGTGTAGTTGAGGCATCACATGAAGTTTCCATTGAAATAGCAAAGAAGAAGACGGCCCACACGATTGGTGAAACTTTAATTAAGCCGTGTACTTTAAAAATGGTCAAGCGGGTTCTTGGAGAGGCAAGTGAACATAAGATTCAGCAGATTTCCTTGTCAGACGACACGGAGAATTAGTGAAATGTCAGCTGATATCATGGAACAAGTGATACAGGAGATTAAATCGTCTCCAACTGGTATGTTTGCAATACAGTTGGGCGAGTCAACGGATGTGAGTTCTTGTGCACAGCTACTCGTGTTTGTTAGGTATGTATTCTTGCGTGACATCAAGGATGAATATCTGTTCTGTACACAGCTTGAAACTACCACAACAGCTTTAGATGTGATGGAAAAGTTCACTTCTTTTTTCACAGCAAACGGGATCACCTGGGAAAATTGTTGTGGAGTCTGTACTGATGGGGCTCCGGCGATGCTGGGATCGAAATCGGGTTACAGAAGCACGTCAAGGAAGTAGCTCCAAATGCCAAAGGAGTTCATTGTATGATCCATCGTTTTGCACTCGCGTCGAAAACCCTCCCTGATGCCCTTTGCCAGATCCCGGAAGCAATGGTAACGTGCGTCAACTTTGTGAAAGCAGGATATTTGAACTCTCGCCTTTTCCAGAACCTCTGTAAAGGCATGGATTCGGAGCATGACGGCTTTCCAGGGGTAATGTTGTGAATCGAGTGTTCGAACTTCTGGGAGAACTTAAGTTGTTCCTGGAAATGAAAGGGAAGGTTGATCTACTAAGTCACTTCAACGAGGTATTGTGGGAGCCACGTCTTGCGTACCTGGCAAACACATTTGAGCAGCTAAACTGGCTGAATCTCAAGCTACAAGGCAAGGAAAGAAATGTGTTTCACCACATGGATTGTATTCGTGCATTTCTTGACAAACTCCAGAACTGGCAAAGGAAAGTCAGTGCAGGAAATGTTGCCATGTTTGAGAATCTCTCAACTGTTCTTGACGAGATTGAAGAGGATCATCTACTTGACCCATCACTCAAAAAATGAAATAATTCAGCACTTGAAATCCTTGGAAAGTGAGTTCAAAAGGTACTTACCAGAATTCGAGGAGGAAGAAGGGAAATTGGTGAGGAATCCTTTCTCTGGCAATCTTAACATTGCTGCCATTCCCGACGATGGTCAGGACGAATTCCTTGATTTCAGGAACGATTCTGCTGCCAGAGACTTCTATGAAGAAAAATCTCTGACTGTATTCTGGTGCTCAATGTATCAGTCATATCCAAAAGTTAGTGAGATCGCACTTCGAGTCCTCTTGCCATTTTCTACTACTTATTTATGTGAATCTGGTTTCTCCACCTTCTTAAAATAAAGAATAAAAGCCGAACCGGTTACTTGTGGACCCAGACATGAGATGTTCTTTATCAGTGACCCAACCTCGAGTTTGTCGACTGACTGAAAGGAAACAATGTCATCCATCCCATTTAACTGTAACAAAATATGCATTCTGTTAGATGATTGTAAACATTAAAATAAAGGAAGAGGGGCCACGAGGATGTTGAGAGTTCCTCAGGGGGGGAACGGAGTGAAAAGGTTTGAGAAACACGTCACTATATAAACTGTACTACATGTTTATCCAGGTAGCGTAGTGAACCTACTTTCAAGTTAACAGAGCTCAAACCTAATACAATTCAATAGTAATAGTTGATAATTATCATCATAACATAATTTAGACAAGTGTCTGTCCAGCTCACACAGTCTTGGCCCAACCCTCGTCATGGTGACCACAAGACGAGGTAATGTTGAAAAGCGTTAAGGGGAGAATCACACCCAAAAAGCACAAAGAAATGCGAAAATATTCTGAAAAATGCCTCACAGTGTCACGCATATATTTAAAAGGGCTGCCAGCCGTTCAGCGTAGTTTAACAACTTTATTGGCACAGAGGGCGCTGGCACGGATCACTGCCACGAAGGGCGGAGGTTCATACATAGGAGGAAATTATAAAATAAGCCATATTCATTAGTCTCATGTTAAAGATTGAAAGTAAATCAGTGTGAATTAACGTAAAGAAAAACTGTCAGGATATTTTCTAGGATTCCTGACTCAATGTAGTAGTTATGGTCTGAAATCTTTAACATTGTAGCATTTTATAATATAATGTTTAAGTGTGTGCTTTAAAGGGCTACCATAAAATTTACACATTGAGTTCCGGTGCGGTTGATTTGCCAGATGTGCCGGTATCCCAGTCTGATTCTAGCAACGACCTCAGTACAGTACATTGTCTGGTTCTGTTCTTGCGCCGGCCATACCGGTACTTCTTTGCCACAAAATTTGTTTACATGCTAATTGTACAACTACTAAGTCTTTGTGTGTTTCTAAATTCTTCGTGATCAAAATTCAGGATTTACAATTGGATGATGTTGATTACCGGGTAA